GGCTGGTTCTTTGAGAAGATAAACAAAATTGCCAAACCTTTAGCCAGACTCATGATGAAAAAAAGAGAGAAGGTTCAGGTAAATAAAATAAGAAATGAAAGAGGAGAAATTACAATGGATACCACAGAAACACAGAGGATTATAACAGAATACTATGAAAAACTATATGCCAACAAATTGGACAACCTAGAAGAAATGGATAAATTCTTAGACTCATACAACCTCCAAAAACTGAATCAAGAAGAAATAGAGAATGTGAACAGACCAATCATAAGTAAAGAGATAGAAACAGTAATCAAAAACCTCACAAAAATAAAAGTCCAGATGGCTTATCCAGAGAATTCTACCTAACATTCAAAGAAGACTTAATACCCATCCTTCTCAAAGTATTCCAAAAATTGAAGAAGCCAGAACACTTCTTAACACATTTTATGAGGTCAACCTTGCACTGATCCCTAAGCCAGACAAGGACAACACAAAGAAGGAAAATAACAGGCCAATATCACTGATGAACATAGATGCAACAATCCTTAGAAAATATTGGCAAACTGAATACAGCAATACATTAAAGAGATGATACACCACGATCAAGTGGGATTTATACCAGGGATGCAGGGATGGTTCAACATCCACAAATCAATCAATGCGATAAACCACATTCACAAAATGAGGCATAAAAACCACGATCATCTCAATAGAAGCAGAGAAAGCATTTGACAAGATTCAACATCCATTTATGATAAAAACTCTCAATAAAATGGGTATAGAAGGAAAGTACCTCAACATAATAAAGGCCATATATGACAAACCCATGGCCAACATCATACTCAACAAGGAAAAACTGAAAGTCATCTCTCTGAGAACAGGAACAAGAGAAGTGTGCCCACTCTTGCCACTCTTATTCGACATAGTATTGGAGGCTTTGGCCAGAGCAATTGGGCAAGAAAAATAAATAAAAGAAATCCAAATAGGCAATGAAGAAGTGAAACTCTCGCTGTTTGCAGATGACATGATTTTATACATAGAAAACCCTAAAGAATCCATCAGAAAACACTTAGAAATAATCAACAATTACAGCAAAGTTTCAGGGTACAAAATCAATTTAAAAACTCAGTTGCATTTCTATGCTCTAATAATGAACTAACAGAAAGAGAACTCAAGAATACAAACCCATTTACAACTGCAACAAAAAGAATAAAATATCTGGGAATAAATTTAACCAAGGAGGTGAAAGACCTATACAATGAAAAGTGTAAGACATTATTGAAAGAAATTGATGATGCCATAAAGAAATGGAAAAATATTCCATGCACATGAATTGGAAGAATAAATGTAGTTAAAATGCCCATACTATCTAATGCAGACTACAGATTCAATGCAATCCTAATCAGAATCCCAATGACATTCTTCATGGAAATAGAACAAAGAATCCTAAAACTCATATGGGGCAACAAAAGACCCTGAATAGCTAAAGCAATCCTGAGAAACAAGAACAAAGCTGGAGGCATCACAATCCCTGACTTCAAAATGTACTACAAAGTTATCATAATCAAAACAGCATGGTACTGATACAAAAACACACAGATCAATGGAACAGAACTGAAAACCCAGAAATAAAACCACACATCTATGGACAGCTAATCTTCAACAAAGGAGCTAAGAACATACAATGGAGAAAGGAAAGTCTCTTCAATAAATGGTGCTCAGAAAACTGGACAGCCACATGCAAAAGAATGAAAGTAGACCATTATCTTATGCCACACACAAAAATTAGCTTAAAATGGATCAAAGACTTGAAGGTAAGACCTGAAACCATAAAACTCCTAGAAGAAAATATAGGCAGTACACTCTTTGACAATGGTCTTAGAAGGATCTTTTCAAATACCATGTCTACTCAGACAAGGGAAACAAAAGAAAAATACACAAATGGGACTGCATTAGATTAAAGAGCTTCTTCAAGGCAAAGGAAACCAGGAACAAAATGAAAAGAAAACCCATCAAGTGGGAAAACATATTTGCAAGTCATATATCCAACAAGGGGTTAACCTTCAAAATATATAAAGAACTCACACAATTCAACAACAACAAAACAAACTACCTGATTAAAAAATGGGAGAGGATATGAACAGACAGTTTTCCAAAGAAGATATACAGATGGCCAATGAGCACATGAAAAGATGTTCAACATCACTAATCATCAGGGAAATGCAAATCAAAACTATGCTAAAGTATCACCTTACACCCATTACAATGGGTATAATCATGAAGACAAAAAAATAACAAATGTTGAGAGGATGTGGAGAAAAGGGGCCCTCATACACTGCTGGTGGGAATATAAACTGTGCAGCCACTGTGGAAAGCAGTATGGAGATTTCTGAAAAAATTAAAAACAGAAACACCATATGACCCAGCTATCCCACTATTGGGTATTTATCCAAAGAACTTGAAGGCAACAGTACACAGAGATTCATGCACCCCTATGTTCAGTGCAGCATTATTCCACGAAGTGGAAGCAACCTCAGTGTCCATCTACTGATGATCGGATAAAGAAGATGTGGTATATATACACAATGGAATACTACTCGGGCATAAAAAAAGACAAAATTGTCCCATTCGCAATAACATGGATTGACCTTGAGGGTATTATGTTAAGTGAAATAAGCCAGGCAGAGAAAGACAAACACCATATGATTTCACTCATATGTGGAAGATAATCTAACACATGGACAAAGAGAACAGTTTAGTGGTTACCAGAGGGGAAGGGGGTTGGGCCGTGGGCACAAGGAGGGAAGGGGCACATTTATATGGTGACTGACAAACAATAATGTACAAGTGAAATTTCAAAACGTTATAAACTATTATGACCGCAATAAGAAAACACCATAAAAAAAATAAAGTCCACACACATTTGCAGAACCTTACATCTTACAAATCTCTTCCTTACACTCTAGTCTATCAATCAACAAATATTTCTTGAACGCCTACAGCATGCTAGGCATGTTCTGGGATTTGAGGGTGCAGCAGTGAACCAGCCAAAGTTTCAGACATCAAGGAACTTATGACGTAGTGGCTAAATGTTGGGGATACACATAAACTAAAATATTCCAGATTCTAGTAAATGTCATAAAGGTGGAGTGGTGGATGTGCTATGTCAGTTACGATATTCAGGTGACATTTTAGTTGAGAGATCTGAATGTCCCAGCCAAAGATATGTCTAGCACTCACCTACTCATCTCTCAGTTCTCAGCTGAGACCTCCCTTGGGGAGTTTTTCTCTTGCCTTGAGATTGGATTGGCAGCAACTCCTGGATGCTCCAAAGCACCGTGTGCTTAACCTGTGCATTTGCCACTCACTGTGTTAATCCCGTTACCTGTCTGTTTCCTCCCCTTACAGGGACTGGCCTTTTTGTTCCCAGTTACATAATAACACCAGTAGTGCTTGGTATGCCTAAATTGCTCAATCTACGTTTCCTGAAGGCCTGATGAAGTAACTAATATCATTAAATAATTTTCCTGGCCTGAAAGCACAGTTAAGTTTGAAGAGGGAAATATATATCCTTTGAAAAGGTGTGTGGCTGACTGAAATGAGGAAAGGCCACATAAAACACTTTATCCTTTATTTCCATTTGCTTTATTATCAATAACCTGAATATTAAAGCATAAAACTCAATACTTAGATTAAATTAATCATGTTTTCCAATTGATACTTTTTTGCTACTTTTTTATGCCCAGGCTCTGTAAAAATATGTAGTCTTTTCCTACGTGAAATTTTTGAAATATGAAGTCATAGACTTCTTAAGTAAAACCTAATGGTTCCATGACTTTGTTAAATATTCAACTTTTGATGAAAGTTAATAACTGCACAATTATCTTCCTTTTTAACCACATCGATTTCTGTATGTAGAGAGGGTAAATTCTAAGCCTTTTTCTCCATTTTTAATTCTAAACTCAAGATTGAATGCAAGCATGAAAAACATGATATTTTCAGACTTGAGCATATGCCAATCAACTGACTGCTAGACAGATTACATTTGCCCAAACCTATTCTTTCTTCCATGGGACTCAGCTTAACTGTTCCAAGGTAAGTGAAAGATTCTTCTGAGATCATCCAACATCCTCCAGGCAGTTAGAAGTCAAAGATAAGTGATTTTTATGCACTATCTATGTTAAAAAAATCTACAAATCTTCCCTAAGGCACCATGAAGGATCCAATCATGCAAACTTTACAGTTAGTGACTATACCCATTGTCCTATAATATCTCCACCTCCCAGTATTTAAGTAATCCTTCCATTATGATAGCTTACATATGAAGTTGTCTGGAAAACTGAAGAGATGGAAGAGAAATAAAAGTAAATAAGAACAGATGACAGGTCATTCCTCCAACTGAGGACAATCAACATCAAAGCTTTTAGTGAACACTAAGAAGAAAGCATTAAATTTCTCTAAATCTCAGCAAAGTTTGAATTTTTATAAACCTGGCATCAATATTTTCTGTTTAATGTCAGCCTGTCAGACTAGCGCAGCATATTGGTTAAATGATAGCTGATAAAGAATATAAAATATATCTCTGCCTCCCTAGTCAGACGTTCCAGCGAGAACTCCTCATTGTGGTTTTAGAGGGATGAAAACAGCTAACATATTTATATATTCTCCCTTATCTTCCACTAAGGCAATTTCTAAGTCCAGTTAACTAGAGTTAGTGTATTCGCTTTTGTCTTGTTAGTTCTGTCACTCTGTTTCTGGTTTACTGGACTTCAGTGACAGGTGTTTCAAATCCTATGCCCTTGCCCAAAATAAGACTTAATTGCTTTGTCTGAGTAGTGGAAATCTTAAAGAGCCGAGAGAGATGAGCAGATCTGCGGATGAAGCTGAGAAAAAACAGCTTAGAATTTAATGGAAACAGGTAAAGTAATTGCCAAGAAGTTAACTGAATGATAATGAATTAGAACAAGAGAAGCTGAAAAGATATATTAAAGGAAATTTTTTAAAATGTTACTTACCCTTAGTTCTTCTTTTGTATTGAAACTATCAAGAAGCTGTTGATAATGTCTATCTGTCATTTGTCGTAATAGGGACAGGAGACAAGCAACAAACTCCCCCTAATTAAAAAAGAAGCAAGCATATTTTTTTAATAAGGACATAAAAGAACATGAGTAACTTACTTTGAACTGCCCTCAAATAGAAACTTGAAAAAACCACTATGATCCAAACTCACCCAGTGAAGTCTTTTTAATCTAATTAACCATAATATCACAGTCAAAATTTCTCCCTGTGATGATTACCATTTACTTGGTATACAAGCATTTTTTTAGAGTGGATTTTTTTAACTTGGGTGGAAGCTTTTCAGTACAGAACTAACTGCACACACTTCAAGGAGGTAAGGCAATGAGGCCCCCAACCATTTATTGAGCATTTACTACGCCCTCATTCATTATATCATTTGAACCTCTTATCAATGCTATGAGGTGGGGGGTATAATACTAATCTAAAGAAAGCAAAATATAGGTTCAGTGAGCTAAAAGATTTGCCCAAAGTCCCACTGCTAGAAAGTGACAGAGCTGTGTCAGAAAGCTGTAGGTCTTTCTGACTCCAAAACTCTTCCTCTAACTTCATGCTCCATTTTTTTTTTTTTTAAAGATTTTATTTTTTTCCTTTTTCTCCCCAAAGCCCCCCTGGTACATAGTTGTGTATTCTTCGTTGTGAGTTCTTCCAGTTGTGGCATGTGGGACGCTTCCTCAGCGTGGTCTGAGGAGCAGTGCCATGTCCGCGCCCAGGATTCGAACCAACGAAACAATGGGCCGCCTGCAGCGGAGCGCGGGAACTTAACCACTCGGCCACGGGGCCAGCCCCGTTCATGCTCCATTTTTGAGTTCACATGATCTCCTCCAAATCATCAGCCTGTCTGCTGACTCACAGGGTGTAAAGAAAGCCATACATGCGCAGCGGTTAAGTTTGCACGTTCCACTTCTCAGCGGCCCGGGGTTTACCGGTTCGGATCCTGGGTGTGGACATGGCACCGCTTGGCAAAAGCCATGCCGTGGTAGGCATCCCATATATAAAGTAGAGGAAGGTGGGCATGGATGTTAACTCAGGGCCAGTCTTCCTCGGCAAAAGGAGGAGGATTGGCAGCAGGTAGCTCAGGGCTAATCTTCCTCAAAAAAAAGAAAATAAAAATAAAGCCATACATGGCATAATGGTTCTTTCAATCTCCTTTTAAAAACAGTTTAGGTTATTTGTGACCCTTTAGTGCTTAAGTGCTACCTGATTAACTCCTTAAAAGTCCACTTCTTAAAAATTAATAATGAAAAAGAAAAAAATACATAGCATCCATAGATGTGAAGACCTATAAAATTGCTGTCACTTGCATTTCTCAATGTACTTCTAATTTAAAATATTTATGTTTTCAATGCGACCTTTTGTGCTCAGCAAAGAATTTATCTGCTTTTAATTAGAGCAATAACATTTAAAACAATACAAACACAATAGGAGAAGCAATCAGTGGTAACTGTAAATTTATAGAAATGCAGTTTAATTGGGAATTGGTTTCTTTGCATTTATATGGCTCACATGTACAATTAGAGACTGAAAGCCCCCAGAAGTGGGATTTTCCAACAGAGGCAGCTAAGTCAGGACAGCCAAACGTATCACTACCATCTGCCAAAGGAGGCCTGAGGATGCTACTTAACGGCCATGTCGCGGTGATCAGAGATGCTGGCTGGCTCCTTCCAAGTGGATAATAATTTGTAACATGCAGATACAAAGAATAATTACCCCTACACAATTATTAGAGCAAATATTTAAGAAACTAACCAGTACAGGCTCACAGAAACATCCTCTAAACTCAACATAATACTTTGCTAGTGAACAAAGAAACTCTTGATACTTAACACAAAAAATGGAAAATTTAAGGGAACAATTATTAATATTTTAGTGTATGTGTGTGAGGAAACAACCCAAGGGTGGGAAAATAACTACCCAAAAGGACTGAGAAAACAGTATCTGGTGTTCACTCATGACTGGGAATGGCGCCTTTTCTCACCAGCCAGACTGGAAAAACCTCATGATTAACAGGGCATCAGTTAGACTACTAAAAAGATCTTTCCTGAGTAGCAGGCAAAATTACTCCTAGAATAAATGATGCTCTGAGCCTACCTAAGAAAGATCAACAGCAAGACCTGAAACAATCAAACAGCTCCCAAGAAAGTTAACCTTATTCCAGAGAGAGCTCAAAGATATTTTTAGGAATAAAAAATATTCACCTCCCAACAAGATAAAATTCACAATGAATAGCATTCAAAAAAAAGTTACCAGGAATACAAAGCAGCAGGAAAAAACAATGATGCAAATGAGGAGGAAAAAAAAATCAATCAACAGAAACAGACTCAGAAATGACACAGATATTAGAACTAGCAGTTAAGGACATTAAAACAGCTATTATTACTGTATTCTGTATATTCAGGAAGCAAGAGGAAAGATTTAATATGTTAATTAGAGACATGAATGATATCAAAAAGACCCAAATTGAACTTCTAGAGATGAAGACTATAATGTGGAAGATGAAAATTCACTGAATGGGACTAATGGCAGATTAGAAATTGCAGAAGAAAAGAATACTGAACTTTTGAGACAGAGTAATAGAAATTCTTCAGAATAAAACAAAGAGAGAAAAAACTAAAAAAAAAGGAAGGAAAAAAAGAAAAGTAAATACATCAATGAAATGTAGGACAACTTCACGTAGCAGAATACATACGTAATTGGAGACCTCGAAGAGGAGGAGGGGGCAGAAAAAGTAATTGAACACATAAGGGGAAAAAGTTTCAGATTTCTTGAAAACTATAAACCTATGTATCAAAGACTTCAAGAAACCCTAAGCACAAGAAAAACAACAACAACAAAAAATACACCAAGCTACATCATAATAAAATTGCTTATAGCCAGAGATGAAAACATCTTAACACCAGTTAGAGGGAAAAAACCCACATTATATATAGAGGAACAAAGATAAAGATGACAGATATCTCACTGCAAACAATACAAGCTAGCAGACAGTAAAGCAAAATCTTTAGAGTATTAAAAGAAAAAAAACCCACAACTATCAACCAAGAATTTGTTACCAGCAAAAATCTTTCAAAAATAAAGACTTTTCAAACATCTCAAAGCTTAAACAGTCTACTACTTCTATTCAACATTATACCGAAGATTCTAACCAATGCAATGAAGGAAGAACAAGAAAGAAAGAAATATAGATTGGAAAGGAATAAAAAAAAAAGCTGTCTTTATTCACAGACAACATATTTGTGTTCATAAAAAAATGCTATGAAATTTACAGTGAGCTACAAGAAGTACTCAAGTGAGTTAATCAATGTCCCAGAATACCAGATCAATGCACAACAATCATTTTTACTTCTATATCCTAAAAATCAACAATCAGAAATGGAAATCTAAAATAATATAATTTATAATACCATTGAAATACCTGGTGATATAAATGAAATACTTAGTGATATAAATGACAAAAGATATGTCTGATCTGCACACTGAAAACTATAAAACATTGACGAGAGCAATTAAGGAAGACTTAAATAAATGGAGAGAGATACTATGTTCATGAATGGGGAGATTTGCTATTTTTAAGATGTCAATTCTCCTCAAATTGGTATGTAGATTCACTGCAATCTCAATCAATATCACAGCAGGGTTTTTGGGGGTAGAAAGTAACAAGCTGATTTTAACATTCATACGGAAATACAAAGGATCTGGAATAGTAAAAAGAACTTTGAAAAAAAAGAACAAAGTTCAAGGACTTATGTGACTTCAAGACTTATTAGAAAGCTATGGTAATTAAGATACTATGTTATTAGTATCCCCCCAAAAATAGATAAATAAAACAGAATTGTCAAAACCAGGAGCAACCCAAATGTCCACCAACAGGTGAATGAATAAACAAATTGTAGCATATCCATATAACAGAACACTATTCAGCATTAAAAAGGAATGAACTATTGATACACACATTGATGAAACTCAAATAATCATATTGAAGAAAACAAGTCAGATTGTCCCCCTCGCCAAAAAATGTCAACAACAATAACTTCCTGTATGATTCTATTCATATAAATTTCTAGAAAATGCAAACTTACCTGCTATAACACTAAGCAGGTCAGAGATTGCCTGGGGACGAGGTGGTATGAAGGGGCAAAAGGCAGAGAATAGAGATGAACACAAGGAAACTTTTGAGAGTGATGGACATGTTCATCATCCCGACTGCGGTGATGGTTCACAGTATACAAATTATGTCAAAATGTATCAAATTGTATACTATTAACTTCACTTTACAGCAAGATCTGTTAATGCTAAGATATTTATCCCAGGTTCCACAGCTAGAAAATGGTAAAGCTGGATGTGAACCTAGGTATCTCTGGCTCTTCTTCCTACTGCTCAGACTGATTTGACTTTACAGAGGAGACATATCTGAGTTTTGGGCTTATATTTCAAATATAAATAGGCATATAGGAATATGTCAGTTGATAACCAACGTCTGTACTTTTTAAACTCTCTATTATGTCTTGAGTTAAAAATGTAATCTAATTGGTAGAAATCTATTTAATTTCTCATCTCTTAGTTTTTCTACATCCTATCTACACTATCTCCACCACAGCTACCAGATTAATATTCCTAAATTTATTTCAACATACCCTTCTGTGAATAGTGAAATACCTTGAAATTGGAAGAACGACATATTATTTATAATAATTTTAGTAATAAGAAAAATCATTCAAAAATGAATAGACTTTTATTAAGTCTTTGCAGTCAATGTACCTAGAAGAACATGTCTTTGAATTCAGGTTATTAACTATTTGTATCTGTCACATCTGGTCTAAGCCCATTGCAAACAACTTAACACCTTGACATCTAATCTTGGCACATTTACGACATGTTGTCAATCCCAACATCTACTCTATAATGTCATTTTATTTATTAATCTATTTAGGAACTCCAAGTACATTTAGTTAGCCCTGTTAAGAAGCCTAGATATCCAATATTTTACTGACATATTTTTCAGCCATAATGTAATTTTCTTTGTTTTTAAGAGATTTTA